TGCTGGAATGCAAGCAGCCTGCTCAGGCCTACCCAATAATAGTAATACCACTTACACAAAGCTTATTATCTCCAGCTTTTCATATATTAACTCACTTTTAATCCTCATGGCAACATTATGTGGTAGGTACAATTCTTACGCCCACTTTACACAGGAAAATTAACACCAAAGAGAGTAAATCTTTTGCTGAGACATTTGGCATTTTGATGTATTTTCCTGTGGCTTGCACTATCAACAACAAAGATATTTTGTATTCCATATTTTGTAACATTTTGTAATAAAGTTTTTGTCATCAATGCTATTAGAGTCTAATTTATCTATACCTAAATCTAGTTGATGCCATTTAGTGTGTTTTGAGTATTTTTTGCTAAAATTCAATATAACGGTAAACTTATTATCCTACAACAAAGATTTAAAATAAAAATGTCATTTATGTACAAAGCAGCTCAAAATGTTATTAAATGCATAAAATAGTCAAAATATCAAGTTTTTATTTTTTGTGGATTTTTACCACATTTTGAAAAAAAACAAACAAACCTTGAAATCAATTAATGCAGTGAAAGAGTTAAGAGACTGACCCAAAGTCACAGAGTTAGTGAGCCAGGAGAAATGGCATTACTAGGGATACTTAGATTAGTAACTGGACACAGGTCTGTAATTGGGGAGGCATGTGTGCTTCATCAGAAGGCATATTATCTCTGTAGAGACAGTTTTGGAATTATTTTCATGAGAGGCAGGATGTGTGTGGCTGTCATAAGGCATAGTACAATGTTAGTGCAAAAGGGCAGAGATACCGTTTTAGTTAACCAGCATACCTTCCTTTGGGTAACCATCCCTACCCAAACTCCATGTGACCCTGAAGGAGCAGCAAATCACAGTACACCGTGGTTAATTCAAGGGTGAACATGTGAACCAAGCAGGGCGTTTTCTGAAATTAGTAAATGGATACTACATATAGGGGGAAAATTATTGGCGCTAAGCTTAAAATGTGGCAGTCAGGGGCAGCCCAGGAGCAAACTGGATCAATTCACGTAATGTTCATTACAACCTTAATTTTATCATTTCAATTTCACAAATAAGAAAGGACACTAAGGGCCGGCCAAGTGGTTCGTTGGTTAGGAGCTGGCTTGGGACGCCAGAGGGCCCCGGTTCAGATCCCACACATGAGAGCCAGTGACACTGCCCTCTACAAAAAAAAAAAAAAAGAAAGGACACTAAGGCCCAGAAGGGTTAGGGTCACACAGTTAGCAAGTGGTGCAGTGAGGGTCTAAACTACTCAGGCAGTTGGACCAGAGAGCCAGCAGCCTTAACACTAAGCCACAAGGGGAGGTGACAGAGAGGAAAGGCAAAAGTTTCAAAGGAGCTTGGTGAATTGGTGAATGAGGAAGGAAGAGGCTGTGTGTATTAGAAGGAGGGCACTCACCATGCAGGCCTGAGCCAGACTCATGGCCAGGCGGAAACGGGCGGACATGGCGAGAGGCAGCAGGGGGCTGAGGCCAGAGCCTACCGCAGGGTTGATCACGCGAAGGCAGCGGACAACAGCTTCTACAACCAGCTCAGTGGTGAAGGCCCGCAGGGTCTGCACTTCTGGAGGAACTGCCCTGAAGAAGAAGGGGGGCAGGCTTGATTTGGGGAGCACTCAGGAAACAGGGATCAGGCTGGACCATGCTGCTTTCTGGAAGCTCTCATACTGGGGTGGGGATGAGGAGGGCGGCCACAGTTCAGACAGGTCCTGGGTGTTAATGAATGTGACTTCCATTTGGAAAACTCAGAACTAAGGAAGTCCTCAGATCCTAAAAACTTGGTGTAGGAGAATGTTGGATTGAAGGGATATGAGCTGAGAAAAATCTCAAATTTCCCTATGCTTAAAAGTCCCACATTTCTGGGGTCTGGGAGAGGCAACGGGCTCATGTGACATGATCTCGTTTTCTGGGTCCCCAGATGTCATATACCCTGCATGTCAGGGACCTCTAGATATTGAGCTGCTTTGGTTTTGAGACTAGATGTTGGGAGGCTGGGGTTTTCAGAAGTCCCAAATATCAGGGTCCCTGAATTCAAGATCCCTGGATATTAAGACCACTTAGTTTCAAGCAATTCAGAAATCAGGCTCTGTAGATGTTGGCATCCTGGGTTTTTAGGGCCCTCGAATGCAGGAATCCTGTATGTCAGAGTCACCAAGTACTAAGGCTGCCAGATTTTAGGGTCTGGGGTTTCAAAAGCCCCAGATGTTGGGAAACCGGGTTTGAAGATTCCCAAGTATCCAGTCCCAGGGTTTTTGGAGTCCCTGAGTGCCAGGGTCCTGGGGTTTTAAGTTCCCTGGTTCTCAGGATACAGGTGTCTAAGAAACTCCAGATATCAGGGTCCCAGGGTATTGATGTAAAGACCCACAGATTTCAGAGTCCCAGGTCTAGGTACTTGAGTTTGGGGTTTACCGAGTGTCGGGTTTGGGAGGCCCCTGGTGTGTGTGTGTGTGTGTGTGTGTGTGTGTGTGTGTGTGTGCACGCGCGCGCGCGCGCGCGCCTATATAAGGGAGAGGAGGGCTTAGGATCCTGGAAGTTGGAGCCCTGGATGTCAAGGTCCATTGTTTTAAGGTTCCCAGGTGACTGAGTCCAGAGTTTTGGAGTTCCAGATATGGGAATTCGGGGTGCATGGGGGCTGTGTCCTTACGTGCCGGCCTGGCGCAGGGAATGGATGAGTATTCGGTCCGCCTCCTCCATGGTGGAGCTGTGTTCGACTCTGAGGCCAGGTCCAGGGCCGGGTCCGAGCAAGAGAGACAAACCCAGATCTGCGCCGGCGGTCCAAGGAGTGTCACGGGCTGCAACTGGAGAGCCGGGAAGTGTAGTTCCGACAGTGAATGCAGCGAACGTGCGCGCGCAGCGTTGAATACGCAATGGCTGCTAGGAGTTGTAGTTCTTCCGTCTACAGTCCAGTGGGGCTCTTGGCTCTTCCAAGTGAGCAAAGGAGTGTGTGTGTGTGTGTGTGTGTGTGTGTGTGTGTGTGTGTGTTGCGTGTGTGCGCGCGTGCGGGGTGTGTGTGTGTGTGTGTGTGCGCGCGCGCGCGCGCACGTGTTGGGAGGGCGGGGTGGAGGGTGGCATCTTGACTCATTCATTTAAGGGGGCATTTATCTTCTAGATTGTAAAAGTGTACAAGTTAAGGGCAGGGGCTTTAACACAAAGGGACTAGGGTTGAGTCTCAGCTATTTAGCTCAAATCTTTAGCTCAACTTGCTAAATGTGCAAACGTGGGCAGGTTACATAACTTCCCTGTGTCTTAATTTCCTCATCTGTAAAATGAGACTACAGTAGTCTCCTCCCCATCTACGGTTTCGCTTTCTGCTGTTTCAGTTACCCGAGATCAGCCGCCATCTGAAAATATTAAGTGGAAAATCACAGAAATAAAGAATTCATAAGTTTTAAATTGCACGCCATTTTGAGTAGTGCGATAAAATCTCCCGCCACCCCGCTCTTCCCCTCCTCCCCCCACATACGTGAATCATCCCTTTGTCCTGCGTATCCTCAATGTATACGCTACCTGCCCGCTAATCGTTTAGTAGCCTTCTCCATCATCAGATCCACTGGCGCAGTATCGCAGTGCTTGTGTTCAGGTAACCCTTATTTTATTTAACAGTGGCCCCTAAGTGCAAGAGTAGTGATGCTGATAATGTGCATATGCCAAAAAGAAGCCATAAAGTGCTTCCTTTAAGTGAAAAGGTGTGTATGCATAGGAAAAAAAATATAGTATACCTAGGGTTCGAGACTATTGCTGTTTCAGGCATCCACTGGGGATCTTGGAATGTACCCCGGTGGATAAGGGGGACTACTGTACCTGCTTCCTAGGATTGAAACAGAATTAATTCATGTAAAACACATTGTACTATGTGCCTGACACATAATACAGTAAGAAAACAGTGTGTAAGTTGTAGTTACTAAGTACCCATGCATTCAGTAAATGCTTTAATATGTTATACATTCGAGTATGTATACACCCCAAAGAATAATTACACAATAAACATCCATTAAACCACCATTCATTTCAAAAACCACCCTGTTCCCACTGCTCAGTAGTGGGATGTTTGTCATAAATCATGTGTATACATATGTGGGGCTCAGATTTGGAACTGTTTTGTTCTTAATTACTGTAATTTCATTACAAGCCTTGATATCTGACATGGCAAGTCCTCCCAAAATGTTTTTTTCCAAAGGATTTGTGCTTTTCGAGGTCCTTTGTATATCGATATACATTTTTAAATCACTTTGTCTAATTCCACGGAAAAGCCTTCTGAGATTTTGTTTGGGATTGTATTAAATCTCTAGATCACTTTGGGAAGAATTGGCATCTTCACAGTTTTGACTATTTCGATTAGCTAATTTAACATATCTACCATTTATTTAGGTCTCCTTTTTTTTTTTTTTTTTTTTTTTTTTCTGAGCCATCCTGCTACCTATTGGCAGCTCAGCGGCTGCTCAGCTCGGGCTGGACTCGAACCGCTGTTGNTCAGCGGCTGCTCAGCTCGGGCTGGACTCGAACCGCTGTTGCTCAGAGCTCAAACTCTTGAGCGAGCTCTTAACCAACTGAGCCACTCGGCCGGCCCCTATATTTAGGTCTCCTTTAATCACTTGATAATATTTGATAACTTTTTTCCATGGAGATCTTGCACATGTACCAGGCATGCCAAAAAATGTACACACATGACTTGTATTCCTGTTTTCTTATTGGTATATACTGAGTATTACAATTTTAATACAATTTTGTCCTTTCTTAAAATGTGTATACATTTTTTGGTACCCTCTGTATTATGTTAGGTTTATTCCTATGTACTTCAAATTTCAGATACTGTTGGGAAAATTGTATCATTGTCCTTATTTTAGTTTCTGGCTGTTTGGTGCTGGTATATATTTTGTAAAAACACTTAAAAAAATCAGTGCCTTTTCTGTTGCCAGGCTCTGCCCCACAAAAGTCCCATCTGTGACCCTGCTCACCCTCCCATCCCACCCTGTTATGGCCCCGCCCTGTGACCTTAATCCTTCCAAAGCTGGGGGAAGAGAGGGGGGCTGTTTGCAGATGACTCTTCAACCTCCAAAGAAGGATGTCGGCATCTGAAGGCGGGAAAGGTGAGAGCAGACTTCCACCCCTGCAGACCCTTTGAGCAAGCCTGGGCTCTGCTCTACCCTTGGCCCCTCTGACCCACCCACTGCCCACCAGGACCCCACCACGGGAGAGCCACCAGGGGACCAGAACTACATCACCCTGTACCCATCCCAGCCAGCCCCATACACAGCCTTACTGCCAACTGAGCCCTGACGCTCAGCCTGACCAAAAACACTGCCCCCATTGCCTCCTAGTCCCATCCACAGCCATAGTTCTCAGCTGAAACCCAACTCTAACCCTGGCCCAGACCCCTATTCTAGCTCCCACCCCAACCTCAACTCCAAAGCCAGCCCCAAACTTAATCCTAACACAAACCTGACAAACCAGAGGGCAAACCCCTGTTAGAGTCCAAACCCCAACATGGATACAGACCTTACTGTGAACTCTAAAGTCACCTAACCTCAACCCCAACCCCTGGATGTCAATATGGTTAGTGAATGGGTCTCTGATTTTCCAAAAAGAATGCAGACTCATTTTTAAGGACAAAGAAAATTAGAAAGAGAGAAGAACACACACTTGATGGTGGTAGTAAGTCATGAGGGCTGAGTCAGAGATTGCCTGGGTTTGACCCCCAATTCAGCCACTGCATCAAATCACTGAACACCTCTTTTTGCATCAATTTCCTTACCTGCAAAATGGCAATAATACTATGTGCAAGACAGTCTTCTGAATGCTAAACTCATTTAATCCTCATAACAACCCTATAATGTAGTTTCTTTTATTACAATCTCATTATACAGATAAGGAAATTGAGGTTCAGAGGGATTATGTAACTGGCTCAAGGCCACACACAGCTACCAAGTGGTAGAGTCAGGATTTAAACTCAGACAGCTTCTTTTCTCCAAAGGTGGGGATCTTAACCAGGCCAATCTACTGAACCTCAGAGGCTGAAACAAAGTCATGGGAATTGGGAATGGCCTTAGCTGAAAACCCCAATGCAAAACTTAGATCCCATCCAAACTCAACGTCAGCCCTAACCTTGATCTAATTCTAACTCTGGCTCATTCAGATACCAAGTCCTAACCCTAAATCATAACCTAAGCACACTCCATTCCCACCTTTATTTAAACACAAACCAAAAATCCACCAGTTGAATTTAACCCTAAATTTGCCTCTAGCTATAAACTTAATCGTACCTTATGCCAACTTAAACTCTACACCCAAGCCTAACACCAAATCCTACTTCACTTGGAAACATACTCTCACCTTCACTCCTCTATAAACTTTCACTCTACCCCCCAATCAATTCCAACACCAACTCTTACCTCCCAATCCTTAACTCAGGCACCCCCAACTCTTTCTAATTTTACATGCTCTTTTCCCCTCCCCTCAGACAGAGATGGGATCAGGCAGGAGGCAGCCATGGTTGCCCCAATAACCTGTCCCTCCTAACTCGGTTTCTCCACACAGACATCACCCCAGAGCCCAGTCCAACCAATGGCTCAGGCCCTAGTCGCGAATGGGGGCTGTGCCCTGGGCCCCCAGACTCAGGGGGTGAAATCGGCAGGGCATCGGGCTTGGGGACCCCTAAACGAAGGACTCAGCACAGTAAGCACAAGACAGTGGCAGTGGCCAGTGCCCAGCGGTCACCGCGGGCACTCTTCTGCCTCACCCTGGCCAACCCTCTGCGGCGGTCCTGCATCAGCATCGTGGAGTGGAAGCATCCTGGAAGGCCAGGGGCAGGCGTTGGGGGTGAGGGTCACCAGGGTACCAAGAGTCAAGGATTGGGTCAGGGCTAAATGAAGAAGGGCTAAGGTCACCAGGGACCAGGGGTCAAGCACTGGCTTAAAGGGAGAGTTGAGGAAAGTGAGTCACCAGGGGAATCAGGAGTCAAGGAGTAAGTCACAGCAAGAGTTGAGGATGACTAAGCTTTCTAGGGGAGTCAGAGTCAAGGCCTTGGACAGGGCAGGGGCTGGAAATGTCAGGGCTGGTCACCTTGGGATCAACAGTGAGCACTGGGTGGGGAGGTCCCCAAGGGAATGTGAGGGTTCTGAGGCTGCTCTGCCTGGGTCCTTGACTATGTCAACCTGAGGCCCTTCGACATCCTCATCCTGTTAACCATCTTTGCCAACTGCGTGGCCCTGGGGGTCTACATCCCCTTCCCAGAAGACGACTCCAACACTGCCAACCACAACCTGGTGAGGCTCACCCCACTGTGCCCTGCCTCCTCTCCAGCCAGCTACAGCCCTAGTCAAACCACGCCTCAAGCCTTCCAGCCAGGTCCCACCCCACACTGATCCAAATGACCCTCCCCTTCCTAGAGCCACACCCTGTCCCAGCTATTCCCCCTTCCCTTCCTCCCCTCAATCCCCAACCCAAATGCCTCCCCAATCTCCGGCTCTTCCCCCAGGAGCAGGTGGAGTACGTATTCCTGGTGATTTTTACTGTGGAGACAGTGCTTAAGATCGTGGCTTACGGGCTGGTGCTCCATCCCAGCGCCTACATCCGCAATGGCTGGAACCTACTCGACTTCATCATCGTCGTGGTTGGGTGCGCATCTGCGGGGAACACCCCCCCCCAACCTAGTTCAACCTCCCACCCCAGACCCGCTGAATTCGGGGCTCAGGGAAGCGACTACTTTAGACTGTCCCCATTTGGCAGCCAGAATCAGGAATATTAACATATTTAAGCCTATTTACATTTCCGGTTACAGGGACTTGTGCTTTCCAGAGGAGAAAGGAGGGGTGGGAGAGGGTGCCAAGTCCTGACCCCCACCTCGTCCCTTGCCCTCCCATCAGGTTATTCAGCGTGCTGCTGGAGCAGGGCCCCGGACGGCCCGGGGACGCTCCGCATACCGGGGGGAAGCCAGGAGGCTTTGATGTGAAGGCATTGCGGGCATTTCGGGTGCTGCGGCCACTGAGGCTGGTGTCTGGGGTCCCGAGTGAGTGGAACTCCCCCCGGGGTTGGAGGTGGGGGAGGGAGCGAGAGGCTGAGCGGATCCTGCCCCTACTTCGCCCACTTCTCGCTCCCCACAGGCCTGCACATAGTGCTCAATTCCATCATGAAGGCGCTGGTGCCGCTGCTGCACATCGCACTGCTAGTGCTCTTCGTCATCATCATTTATGCCATCATCGGACTCGAGCTGTTCCTCGGACGCATGCACAAGACATGCTACTTCCTGGGATCTGGTCAGCCAGCTCACCCTTACCGGGATAGAACACGCCCCCTCCACTGGTTCCTAGGCCCCAAGGTGTTCTCAAGGAAACCCAAATTCACAAGACTCCACCCACAAGTTCAGGCTCCACCCCCAATAAACAAGCCCTACCCCCATAATCAAAACTCCGCCCTTAATCCTAGACTAAAACCGCCCCCCTCGCTAATACCTCGGTCCTATCACAAGACTCCGCCCTTCAGCCAAGGGCCAGCACTTAAAACTGCAAGCTTCCGTACTGGCCCCATATACTCAGGCCTTCCATTCAGACCAAAGCCCAAGCTTACGCCATCCTCTTTTTAAGAGACCCTCCCAAACCCACAAGACTCCACCGCCTCCAGGCTCATGCCTCACTGTTATTTACAAGATTCTGCCCCAAGATTTACAGTCCCACTCCCTAGATCCCTGTGGTTGGGGTTCAGTTTCCCAGTGGTTCAGAATCCTGACCCGGCAGAGTCAGAGGCTAAGGGTTACCCTCTATTTAGAAAAGTCTAGGACCCTGAGTTGAACTTCCCAGGTGGGCGGGGCTCCAATGTGGCGGCGCCTGCGGGTGGGCGTGCTTCGGAGCTCAGAGCTCCAGGACTTCCCACAGACATGGAAACCGAGGAGGACCCGTCGCCCTGTGCATCTTCGGGCTCAGGGCGTGTGTGCACGCTGAACCAGACCGAGTGCCGCGGGCGCTGGGCAGGACCCAACGGAGGCATCACCAACTTCGACAACTTCTTCTTCGCGATGCTGACCGTCTTCCAGTGTGTCACCATGGAAGGCTGGACCGATGTGCTCTACTGGGTGAGGTGGACGGCAGGCACACAGTGCGAAGGTTGCACCTGCCTTTCCTCCCTGAGCTCAGGCGGGAGTCTGCGTAACTTGAGGGATGCATGCCCTCTCTCTCCCCAGATGCAGGATGCCATGGGGTATGAGCTGCCCTGGGTGTATTTCGTGAGTCTTGTTATCTTTGGGTCCTTCTTCGTTCTCAACCTTGTACTTGGCGTCCTGAGTGGGTGAGGAGCCTAGACACTCCCTTCATCCTGCCCCTCATTCTCCCATCATCCTGCCCCTCAGCCCCTGTCCTTTTTTTTTGTTCCTATCAAACTCCTAGGCAACCTTCAAAACCCACCCGAAATAACCCTCAATTCATTCAATCAACACTGAGTATCTACTGTATGCACAGCACCATTTTTGGAATGAAACAAGAGACAAAAAGCCCTGCCTTCCTGGATATTACATTTTGGGGGAGAGAGACAGATAACAGCAACATACACAATAAATAATATATATGTAGTGTTTTACATGGAATATGTGCTATGGAAAGAAAGGAAGGATAAAAACAGGAAGGGGGAGATCTTGCAGTTATAAATAGGGACAGTCAGGACAGGCCACCGTGAGAAGGTATTATCTGAATAAAAATGTGAAAGAGATGAGGGAACGAGCCATGTGGGTATCTGAGGAAAGAGTGTCCCAAGCAAAGGGAACAGCTAATGTGAAGGCTCCAAAGCAAGAATGTGCTTGGCATAGGCAATAAACAGCAAGGAGGCCAGTGTAGCTGGAATGGGGAAGGAAAGGGGGGCAGCGTGGTTCCCCCACCTAGCCCCGTATCCTCCCTCAGGGAGTTCTCCAAGGAGAGGGAAAAGGCAAAAGCGCGAGGCGATTTCCAGAAGCTTCGAGAGAAGCAGCAGTTGGAGGAGGACCTGCGGGGCTACCTGGACTGGATCACGCAAGCGGAGGAGCTGGACATCGAAGACCCCTCAGCTGACGGCAACTTTGGTTCTGTGGCTGAAGAGGGCCGAGCTGGCCACCGTAGGCAACCCCAATCTGGCCCATTCCCTGCTTCATGCAGGCGTCAGATGCAGGCTGCCCTCCTGAGACCCAGCCCCCAGTTGGACACAGAACCCAGACCCAGACCCAGATCCCCTTCCTAACTGTGCCCAGAACAAAGATTCCAAGTAACACCTCCCCCACCACACATAGAAACACACGCCCATACACACACACATCCCTAACTTCGCCCCAGACCATGCTCCCCAACTGTCCTCCCTATACCCTCAGGGCCACAACTGGCAGAGCTGACCAATAGGAGACGTGGACGTCTGCGTTGGTTCAGTCACTCCACCCGCTCCACACACTCCACCAGCAGCCATGGTGGGGCTCCATCCAGGTTGGGGAGAGGGGCGGGATAGGTAGACAAAGGAGAAAGCCAAGGATGGAACCCTGAGGTCTTCATGTGCTGACCTCTATTCCCACCCTGCCCACAGCCAGCCTCCCAGCCAGTGACACCGGTTCAATGACAGAGACTCCAGGCGATGAGGAAGAGGAGGAGGAGGCTTTGGCCGGTTGTACACGCTGCCTGTGAGGGTCCCCAGCCCTTGACCTCTAACCCAGCCCAGAACCCAGTCCAAACCTGCCCTTGGTACTTACTTTAGACTCCAACCTTGACCTCAGCCCCTGACCTCCAGCCCCAGCTGCTGACTGCTCCCTCAGCCCCTTATGACACCTACCTCTCATCCCCCTCTTTTCCAGAAACAAGATCATGAGAACCAGGGTCTGGTGAGTTGGGGAAGTTATGTGACTCCTGGACCCCATGACTTTGTGAGCCCCACCTGAGCACCCCAGGACAGGCTGAGATGGGTGATCTCAGCCAGTGGACTCCCCTTTCCTCCCAGCCGCCACCTTCGTCGAGCCAACCGGGGCCTTCGGGCATGCTGTCGTCAGGCTGTGAAGTCCAATGCCTGTTACTGGGCCGTGCTGCTGCTAGTCTTCCTCAACACGCTGACCATCGCCTCAGAGCACCACGGGCAGCCCGTATGGCTCACTCAGACCCAGGGTGCGCCCGCCAGCCTCCCAGCCCTCCTCTCCCCCAGCCCCCAATGACCTCCACCCCAGAAATGTCAACCCAGGATCTCTCGGATGCCTCAGACCCCCACATGCTGCCTCACTGCGCAAGTAAATGCAGAAACCTTAGCCTGTCCCATCCCCACCTTGTAGCTTACTTATGTAGCACTTGCTGTGTGTCAAGCTCTGTTCTCTGAGCTTTATATGCACTAACTCAATTTCTTTTCACCACAACCTTATGGGAATTAAGTACTAAGGCACAAAGTACTGAGCACCAAGATACTGAAGAGTTAAGTAACCGATCCCAAGACTCAGCTAGTGAGTGGCAAACCCAGGCAGCCTGGCTTCAGAGTCCAGGCTCTTAACACCACTCTGTCTGGACAAGTTAAACCCCATGTTCTTCCATTTCCCCATCTACAAAATGGGGCTAGTAATAACATTCACTTCATGGTGTGGTTAGAAGGATTAAATGAGTTAAAGTGAAAAGTGCTTAGAACATTGCATGGCCCACATAAAGCTAACACTTTATAAGTGGTAGGTGATACTAGTATTCATTTTAATCTCAACCCCAATCTTAATATTGAGTACACTTCTAACCCCAACCCTCAAACCAGCCCAGTCCTAACTAAACCTCAGCCTCTAACTCTACCCTTGAAGTAAAGCTTTTCTGGGCTCATAGAGGCTGACTGAGGCCCCACCCCAACTCTACCCCTTGCCCTAGCTTCAAATCCCTCAAAACCTTACCCACTCTGACCTACAAACTTATCTTATTCCCTAACCCTGACCCCACCCCCAGCCTGTGCCTAACCTGTGATACCAGCTACCCCAGATCACCCCATGACCACTACCTCCCCACATGTCACCATGGAAACTGGCTCGCCTGGCTGTCCCTCCCTCTCTCCCCACAGAGTATGCCAACAAAGTGTTGCTCTGTCTGTTCACGGTGGAGATGCTTCTCAAGTTGTATGGTCTGGGCCCCTCCACCTATGTTTCCTCCTTCTTCAACCGCTTTGACTGCTTTGTGGTCTGTGGGGGCATCCTGGAGACCACCCTGGTGGAGGTGGGCGCCATGCAGCCCCTGGGCATCTCAGTGCTCCGATGTGTGCGCCTCCTCAGGATCTTTAAGGTCACCAGGTGTGTGTGTGTGTGGCGGGGGGGGGATAGGACTGGAGCCCCAAACACAGCCCAAACAGTCCCCACCCCAGCTCCAATGATAACTTTATATCACCATTCATTTCACAAATACCCATTGAGTGCCTACTGTGTGCCAGGCACCCTTCCAAGCCCTAGGGAAACACCAGAAATCAAAGCAGACACAAGTTCCTGCCTTCATGGAGATTCCAGTCCAGTGGGGAGGGTGTCTACTCCATTTCTTTCCCCTTCCTTAAACTCAACCCTGTCTCTGAACTCAATTCCATACTCATGCCCAACCCAAACCCCATCCCCAGCCTCCAACCATAACACCGGCTCTAACCCAATCCCAACCCCATCTTCAACCTCATCCCTAACTCACAGCCTCATCCCCATCACTAACCACAACCCCCACATCCATAACTTCTAACCATCAGCCTATCTCCAACCACAACCCTGTCCCCAGCCCCAATCTTATCCCCATCCTCTCCTCTGTCTCAACACTCAATTCCAACCTTATCCCCAACTTGGTCATCTACAAATACTCCCTAACCCCGAACCCCAACCCCATCCACATTTGCAATTTCTAACCCCATCCCTAGTCCTGGTCCCAACCTGAAACCCAATTCTATCTCGACCAGCTTCCATTTACCCTCCATCCCAACCTCATTTCCCACTACACCCCTAATGCCAACGCTAACCCCAAACTCAATTTTCCCTTCACTTCTTATTCTCAACTCACCCAAACTCCAAAATCACTACCAACCATGACACGAAAGGTCATTTTCAACTGCCTACCCTAATGCATCCCAAGCTGGAGCCCTACCCTGGTTCCTGACGCACCACTCAACATGTCAACCCTGCCCCCTCCATTTCTGCTGCAGGCACTGGGCATCTTTGAGCAATTTGGTGGCGTCCCTGCTCAATTCAATGAAATCCATCGCATCCTTGCTGCTTCTCCTCTTCCTCTTTATCATCATCTTCTCCTTGCTTGGCATGCAGCTGTTTGGGGGCAAGTTCAACTTTGACCAGACGCACACTAAGCGAAGCACTTTTGACACCTTCCCCCAGGCCCTCCTCACTGTCTTTCAGGTGGGGCCTGGAGACCATGGAATGGGTGGGTCATGAGCATCCTAGGGTGGAGGGAGGGTCCCAAGAGCTTCATGGTGACCTCCCACCCCCAGATCCTGACAGGTGAGGACTGGAATGTGGTCATGTATGATGGTATCATGGCCTATGGTGGCCCCTTCTTCCCAGGGATGCTGGTGTGTGCCTACTTCATCATTCTCTTCATCTGCGGCAACTGTATCCTCAGAGCCTTGGGGGCCTGGATGGTGGCAGGGTGGGGGTGGATAGAGGGGCCTGGGTGGTACAGAGGCAGGCTGCTTCTCCATCCTTTGCAGCCTGAGCTCACGCCAGACATCCTGTTGAATGTGTTTCTTGCCATTGCTGTGGACAACCTGGCCAGCGGAGATGCAGGCACTTCCAAGGACAAGTGCAGGTGCTGTCTGGTTCTGCTTCCAAGACAGTCTCTCCCTGGATCCCTGCCTAAGAACCACACACATACATCCCACACCACCAGAGATGCCTCGCTCACCCTGGCAATCCCCACCACCAGATCCAACCTGCAGTCCTCATTCATTCAACCTGCATTTATTGAGCACCTACTTTGTGCCAGGCTCTGTTCTAGATGCTGAGACAGCAAGGGTCAAGGTAGACAGAGTCCTCTCCTTCATGAAGCTGACATTTGAGTTGGGGAAGGCAAGCAAAACACAAACAACTGAATATATAATATACTTTAATTAAATATATGTTAACAATATAATGAAGAAAATGAAAGCTAAATAAGAATAGAGAGAAATGAAGATTGCTATTTTGTTTAGGGTAGTCATGGAAGGTCTCTATGCAGGGGTGACAGTTGAACTGAGACCTGAATAAAATGAGGGAGTAAGCAATGAAAGTATTTGGGGGAAGAATGTTCAAGGCAAGAGGGAAGTGTGTGCAAAGGTCCTGAGGTGATGATACTCTCAGCACATTCGAAAAACACCTGGAGTGAAATAAGCAAGGAGGAGAGTGGTAGGAGGTGAGCTCAACTGAGGGAATAGGGAGGCCAGACTGAGGGTATTCTGAGCCACAGTGAGGGCTTTGGTTTCTGCTCTGAGTGAGTGGGAGCCATGGGAGGGGTATGAGCAGAGGAGGGATGTGCCAGACTTAGGATTTAACAGGATCCTTCTGGCTGCTGTGAGAAGAACAGACTGCGGGGATGAGGGCGGAAGCAGGGAGGGTCTATGAGGTCTAAGAAAGGCCTGTTCTGAGTGCAATACCCATCCCCCAGCCTCACCCATCTGTTGCAATCCTTAGCAATCACCACCTCCCCCATTTCCTCGCACAGGGAGAAGAGCACTGAGGGGAAATCACCACAGGAGAATGGAGCATTGGTGAGTTAGGAGCTAGTGTACGATCTACACATCATACTACCACCAATACCTGTCTATGTGTTTGTGTCTTTAACCCCCTACCTCTGCCTACTTATTCCTTCATTATTCCATCTCTTCCATGCCTCCCCTATGTCCATCCCCTGGTGTCTCCTCCACCTTCGATGACCCCCTCCACCTTCCTGTCCCCAGGTGCCTGGTGGGGAGAATGAGGAAGAGAAGGGTGCAAAGAATGAAGGAGCAGGCAAGTGGCCAGGGTCAGGTGGAGGAGGTGTGGGACCTTACGGACAGCACCCAGACAGAGCTCTTGACCCCTGAGATCCTCTTCTCTAGAGAGCAGCCTTTTCTGAGATCATCTTGAAAATAATGGGTTTCATGTGTGACAGCAATGTTTGGGACTTTGAGATTAAAAAAGATAAACAGACATTTTGTTTTACCACAGAACTTCTCAGAGCCTTTGTGTTATAACAGTGTGTATATATATGACTGTAAGGATGGCGATGTTCATTCAACACACATTTACTTAGCTCTTACTGTGTTCCAGGCACTGTTCTAAGTGCTGGGACACAACAGTTAGCAGAACAAATTAAAATTCCTTCTCTGAGGAGCTGACATTCTAGCAGGGAGGTGGGAAGAATTTATCCTGTGACAGATACTGTTCTACGTACTTTACATACATTTTCTCAATTAATTCTCTCTCTTTTGATCTTCTGGTGCCAGGCATGGAGGAGCAGGAGGAGGAGGAGGAGGAAGAGGAAGAGGAGGAGGAGGAGGAGGAAAGGGGTGCAGGACGTGTGGAACTCCTGCAGGAAGTTGTACCCAAGGAGAAGGTGGTGCCCATCCCTGAGGGCACTGCCTTCTTCTGCCTCAGCCAAACCAACCCGTGAGTACCAGGAATAGGTGAGGGGGTGGGGCAAGAGGTGCTGGGGCAGGTGGAGAGTCAGGGAGCAGCCAAGGCTGGAGGAGGGGTGCACAGCCTGATGCAACAAGGCCAGGGCTGCATTCCTCCGGCTCCCCCAATCAACTGTGGTTCTGGATTCTGCTCATGGCCCATTTCCTATTCCACAGATTGAGGAAGGCCTGCCACACCCTCATCCACCATCACGTCTTCACCAATCTTATCCTGGTGTTCATCATCCTCAGCAGTGTGTCCCTGGCCGCTGAGGACCCCATCCGAGCTCACTCCTTCCGCAACCACGTGAGCTTTTGGCTCGGGGCTGGGGAGCACTCCCAGGTGTGTCCTACTGGGCACAAGCTGGGGTCAAGATGGAGACAGGGAGAAGATTCTTATCTAGGTAGAGAGAGAGGGGCAATAATGGCAGCTGCTGTGGTGCCAGCCTTTACTGAGTGTGCAACATACTTGGGGAAGCGCCAGGGAGAAAAGAGATCAGGATTCAGCTGAAGAGGAAGCTGTACTTAGAGAGGTTGAGTAGGCCAAGGGCACCCATGTAGCTGGGTAGAAGCAGAGTAGCCCAAGTTTGAACCCTACTCTTTCTGATGGCCAAGTCTTTTGCCTTGTAGAGAAGTTCTTGATGATCATGAGAGAGGAAGGATGGAAGGAGGGATGGAGGGAGAGAGGGCAATGCTTACATAGAGATACACACACACACACACACACACACACACACACACTTAGGATCCCCCTCAGCCATGACTCAAAGACTCTCCCTCGTTCTCATCCCCCAGATTCTGGGGTACTTTGATTATGCCTTCACCTCCATTTTCACTGTGGAGATTCTACTAAAGGTAACTAACAGACCCCCAATTATACCCCGAGTTGCCTCAACCCACTCCCCACCTACTGCCACAGCCCACCTCTACTGTTTCTATTCCCTCCTCCTCCTTCTATCTCCAAATCTGGAGGCTAGCCTTATGACCTCTTATTTCCCAGATGACAGTGTTTGGGGCCTTCCTGCACCGAGGCTCCTTCTGCCGTAGCTGGTTCAATCTACTGGATCTGCTGGTGGTCAGCGTGTCCCTCATCTCTTTTGGCATCCAGTGAGCGACCCCTTACCCACCCCATTCCTCCCAGAGCCCAGACCAGGCCCCAACCAGGGCCTGAGGACCGCCCTCTCCCCAGCTCCAGCGCCATCTCGGTGGTGAAGATTCTGCGAGTACTCCGAGTACTTCGGCCCCTTCGAGCCATCAACCGGGCCAAGGGACTCAAGGTAACCCCACTCTACCCAAACCCACAAGTTCCAGGCCCTGTCCTGCCCGTGGGGCCAGGATTACTGATCAGATTGACCATTTGCATTGATACATGACCACACAGCCTAGACCTGACATGTAACCACATGTGCCTGACCACTGACCATGTGGCCTGGCCCATGTTCCTTACCAGTGGCCATATTTCTCTGATCCGAGTTGCTCACATATGGCCACATACCCCTGCCTGGCAAACCCTTATGGCCAGTTGGTGCCCTCACATTCCTGGGCCACATCACTGTCCTTTGACCATGTGTACCTGACCATGTATCCCTGACCTGAGACCACATGTCTCTGACCCAAGTCCCTGAGCCCCATCCATGCCCAGATTCCCTGCCCCATGGCCACTGTGGCCTGCAGTGTCCATTACCCATATTTGTGGGTGCCTACAGCATGTGGTGCAGTGTGTGTTTGTGGCCATCCGGACCATCGGGAATATCATGATTGTAACCACACTCCTGCAATTCATGTTTGCCTGCATTGGCGTGCAGCTCTTCAAGGTGAGAAGAAACACTGGAGGGAAGCCCAGGTATGGGTTAAGGTGCGGATGAAGGGTGAACCTGCTTGACAAATACCCTCCCTGCAGGGGAAATTCTACAGTTGCACTGATGAGGCCAAACACACCCCCCAAGAATGCAAGTGAGTGGCTGAGACCCTGCCCTCCATGAGGCCCAGGACCCCTCCCAAAGCCTGCAGAGGACCCTAGAGCTCACCAGGGCCCCTGAAACCACTGGAGTTTTCTCCCAAGAACTGCAGAGACCCCAGATTTTATCAAAGCCCCAAGACTCCCAGAACTCCCCCAAACCCCATGATACACTACCAGAATGCTCCCAAGAACTACGAAGGCTCTCAGATCTCACCAAAGCCTAAGAGGCCCCCCAATACCTCCCCCAAGCCCCTCTCCACATTCTCCCAAGTTACCTACAGTCCACTCTAGACCTCCCAGAACTCCCCAAACATACCCCTCTCCACCCCCACCCCCACCCCCACACCCCTGCTCCACCTAATCCTCAGTTTCTATCTTGAGACTCCTGTAGAGGGTAGTGGTTAAAAGCATGGGCATTGAAGTCAGACATTCCTGGTTCAAATCCATCCCATGAGACTTTTCTTTAACCTTGTAACTTCTTACATTTCTTATCCTTGCTGAGTCCCATTTTTCTTAACTAAAAAATGGGGATAAAAAGTGTACAGATCTCTTTGTGTGTGTGTGTGTGTGTGTGTGTGTGTGTGTGTGGAGTAAATGAGCTACTACACAAAGAGTGTACTACAATGTAAAGTTACTCCGTGTAAAGCCTACCACCACGCCTTGCATAGACTTAGTGCTGATCAATGTTGGTTATTATTAGTATTATTTTTTTTCTGGGTGGTAATGATGATGATAATAATGGTGATGAGAGTTAACATATGTGGTGCCAACTATGTGCCACACATTATTCTCATTGACTGACTTCACTAATCCTTGTAACAAGCCAGGAAATATGTTCTGTTATTATCCTTATTTCGTAGATGGGGAAAACTGAAGCACAGAGAGGTTAAATGCCCAAGGTCACCCAGCCAGTAAATGGAGGGGCAGGATTTGAACCCAGGCTATTCAGCTCCACCACTATGCCCTGCTGCCTCCATGCTGGAGACCCCAGTCCCCTTTCTACAGCTCCCCACCCCTCCTCACCCACCCAGCTTGTCTGCAACATCCACAGGGGCTTCTTCCTGGTCTATCCTGATGGAGATGTGTCACGGCCCCTGGTCCGGGAGCGGCTCTGGGTCAACAGCGATTTCAACTTTGACAATGTCCTTTCAGCCATGATGGCTCTGTTCACTGTCTCCACCTTCGAAGGCTGGCCTGCGTGAGGGGCAGAGCCCCAGGGATGGGCAGGGGACTGGGAAAGAGTTTCTAGGGGACTGGCTTAGAATCTGATGCGGATAGGTGGGAGAGTATCTTGGGATGTGATTAAAGTTCTGTTGAGACTGGATAAGGTTTTCTTGGGACTAGTGGGTATATCAGAAGACTGAGTGAGGGTCTCCCAGTAGCTGGCTGGGGTGCTTTGGGGACCTGGGTAGGTGGGGTCGCTAAGAATTGGGTAGAGGTTTATGAGGGACTTTGTAGAAGTCTAGAGAGGACTTGGTAGGATTTAGGGAGGACCAGGTAGATGCCTGGGGAGACTGGGTGGAGGTCTCAGAGGAGATAGATTAGGAGATTCAAGGATTTCCAGAATGCTGCCCAAGTCTTTGGGGTACTAGCTAGAGATCTCTGGTGTGATGGGACAGGGGATTTACAGATCTTTAGGGGCTGGTGGAGGAGTTCTGGGGAAATACATGGGCATCTCCAGGTGGCTGGAGAAGCAAATTTGGGGGTCTGTGGGAACTCAAAGGATTTAGGGGTCTTAGAGAGCCTGGTAAAGGTCTCTCAGGGTACGTATGGAGGTTCCAAGTGGTTAGATCAGGGGGTTAGGGGTCTTTGGAGTGCCAAGAAGGAGAGTCTGGGGTGACTATGACAAATGGTCTGGGGGAAGGTCTGAGGGGGCTGGGATACCCCCTCATCTGCCTCCACCGGCTCCCTAGGCTGCTATACAAGGCCATTGATGCACATGCAGAGAACGAGGGCCCCATCTATAATTACCATGTGGAGATCTCAGTGTTCTTCATTGTCTACATCATCATCATTGCATTCTTCATGATGAACATCTTTGTGGGCTTCGTCATCATCACTTTCCGTGCCCAGGGCGAGCAGGAGTACCAAAACTGTGAACTGGATAAGAACCAGGTGACCTTTGAGCCCTAATCCATGACCCCGACACCATACACACCTCCTTGCCTCTGGACCCCACTGCTCATTCATGTCCTGAACCCATATGCAGCGTCAGTGTGTGGAATATGCCCTCAAGGCCCAACCACTCCGCCGCTACATCCCCAAGAACCCACATCAGTATCGCGTGTGGGCCACTGTGAACTCTGCTGCTTTTGAGTACCTCATGTTCCTGCTCATCCTGCTCAACACGGTTGCTCTAGCCATGCAGGTCTGAGATCTTCCCCTGCCAGACACCCTATTCTGTCCACACAATCACTTGGGAACCAATAGGAACACTTTTGTAACAAAACCCCCAACTGACAGAGACTTAAGCTATAAGGATATTTGCCACATTTCTTCAAATCTAAGGCCAATAATTGTAAGCTGCATACTGATTTCAGAGATCTAAGAATGTGAAAAAAAATGGCAGATGGCAATTGTAAGTTGCCATTGATTGTGAAGTGCACCCCAATTTCAGAAATTCTAAAACGTGAAAAGGTGTGCATCCTGGAGCCAACGAAATATGGTAGTCACCTTACATAACAAGAAGTGTGGAGATAGGCTGTATCCTCATTGTTCATCAAAGACTCAGCCTCTATATCTTTCTACTCCACCACTCTTAGTCGGTTGGCTTTCATTCTCATGCTTGTTGCTTTATGGTCACAAGATGGCTGCCACAGCTCCAGGCATCAACACTACATTCAGGGCAGGAAAAAGGAGGGGAGGTTGTACCAGGGGGCTGTCCTCATTTGAGCCTTTTATTGGAAAACAAAAATATTTTTCACAGAAGCTACCCAACCAGAAGCAGGCTTATGTTTCTGTCTCAGTCAGAACTAGCTGCAAAGGAACCTGGGAAACCAAGAGCTGGGCTTTCTAATATCCATAATGGGAGGCAGACAATGTGAGGGATTTGGCCAATACATAGTACTACCACATCCCCAGACTCACCTCAGCCCAAACCAGAGAAAATTTGGTTGGGAATGGGGGCATCTCTGCTTCTGGATCTGTCCTCACATCTGATTTTGTCCCCCAGCACTATGAGCAGACTGCTCCCTTCAATTATGCCATGGATATCCTCAACATGGTCTTCACTGGCCTCTTCACTGTTGAGATGGTGCTCAAAATCACGGCCTTCAAACCCAAGGTGCTCCTCAGCCCTAGACCCACCTGCAGGGTGGGTGAATCTTTGGGGTGGAACTCATTGCGGAGCTCTTGGGGGGCAGCAACCAGGGAGTCGTGAGACTAGGGAGTGAGAGGGATCCAGATGTATGTAGGCCTATCGTGTAATCCAAGCTGGGCCCTGCCTCCCCAATACCCCTACCACTACTGGCCCCCTACCCTAGCTTGCTAGCTCTGAGAAGACAGGGCACTGCTTTCCTCCCGCCTACAGCATTACTTTGCCGATGCCTGGAACACATTTGATGCTCTTATTGTGGTGGGCAGCGTAGTGGACATTGCCGTCACTGAAGTGAATGTGAGGACTGACCTTCCCACTAACCCACTCTCGCCCTACTAACCTTTCCTCACCTCAATCCCCAGCCTTTCTTTAAATGTGCAGGCGGCTCCCACTCCCATCCACCCCACCCATGGAGGCTCAGTGCTCCTCATTCCAGCTCTATCCTTTCCGAGTTCCTATTGGGTTCAACCAAAGTCCCCCTCCACCAGCTCCCTTATTCCATTTGCAACCTATCCTCTGGCTCCACCATGACCTAAAATGACTCTGTTATTTCTATTATTTCCTTCATCGCCTCTACATCCTCCTCCATTGGCTCCATCATCTCTTCTGACTCCTTCATTGGCTCCATTTCCTCCACTGACTCCATCATCTCCAACACTGGGTCTTTCACATCTGTCATTACCACCGACTGCACCGATGGCTCCATAATCTCCTCCATTGGATACTGCATGGTTCTATAACCTTAATTGACAACACTGCTGGTTCCATATCTCCATCACTGGCTTCTTCATTGGGTCCCCCATTGGTTCTCACCACCATAAAATAACTGGCTACATCATTTCCTCCACTGGCTCCAATATGTCTCCTCCGTCATCTCCTGTACCCTCTCCTCTCCTTCCACTCCCATTACCAACTTTTCCCACAACCACCTTGATCCACTACCACATAACCTTCCCCACCATCTCTTACATAATGACTCTACCATCCATCATCCCCTATAACTGTTCAATCATTTCTCCCCTTGTTCATTTGGACCTGTGATCTCATTATCTCCTCTCTCACCTCTGTCTTGGCCATATCTCCCTCCAGAATGGTGGCCATCTTGGCGAGGTAACCTCAGAATAGGGACTCAACTTCTTTTCTCTCCCACCCTTTCTTTTTTCCTGATGAGTCCTAATAAATGCTCCCTGACCATCCTGGGGCCTGACTTCTGAGCGATTTAAGGGCTGGGAGGGCCAAAGCGTGAAACAGGGAGGTGGCTGGGGCAAATGTGGGCTGAGAATACCCACCACACCCCCAACCCCAGAGCTCTGAGGACAGTTCCCGCATTTCTATTACCTTCTTTCGCCTCTTCCGAGTCATGCGGCTGGTCAAGCTTCTCAGTAAGGGTGAAGGGATCCGCACGTTGCTTTGGACATTCATCAAGTCCTTCCAGGTAACACCCCCATCTTTTGACCACCTCTTGCCCCCCACCTCACATCTCTCAGCCTGCCTTTTTATCACCCCCAGAACTATATCTCCCATGCCATATTCTCCTGCAACATCATTTCCAGTTTTCTCTGTTTTCTAGGCTCTCAATTCCCAACATGCCTTGGCCCCTCACTGACCTAACTCTATTGTGTTTAATACTGTGTCCACATTTGGGAGACACTGACAGTCATAACATGGGCACTTGAGGGATGGACCGCATCTCTCAGCAGGTCCAGGCTTAAGGCAGCAGTGTATTCTGGGAATTATGGTTATTTGCCTGGCCCTGAGTACCTATCTTCCTCTCTATCCCCATAGGCTTTGCCCTATGTCGCTCTTCTCATCGCAATGATATTCTTCATTTACGCAGTCATTGGGATGCAGGCAAGTGGGGACCCCAGGGAATGTCCCTCCTGCACTCCTCTGCTGAGGGGAGTTAAGTAGGAATAACCCAAAAGTGGGGTTGGTGGGTGAAAGACAGACAGACACATGTCTGTAAAATGGAATCATCAGTGCCTGCTTGTCAGGGTTGTGAGGATCCTTTGGGTATTAGGAGGTGTGAAATGGGTGGGAACCTGTGGAGGCACAGGTTCACCCTTCTGTCTTAGCTCCTGTATGCCCACAGATGTTCGGCAAGGTGGCTCTTCAGGATGGCACACAGATCAACCGAAACAACAACTTCCAGACTTTTCCACAGGCTGTGTTACTTCTGTTCAGGTACCATCTACACCCTCCCCTGCCATCTGTGTCCCCAGCATGCCCTTGGGTGCCCACACACCCTGTCTGGGCCCCAGATTGCCTAAGCTGTAAAACTAACAGGGCAGCATGGAGTTCCATATTGCCTGAGACTTTTTCTGCCTGTGATCTGAATCTTTTAGAATATTCTAGCCTGAGCCATCCTTTTTCTGGTTGTAAGATGTATCCCCTTCTTAGGCCTCCGTGTCCCACCTGTAAAATGCTAATATGACTGTCGTCAACATGGCATGCCAGCTTTTTACATGTCAAAATGCTATTTGTGCCAGACGTAGCCCCTAGCAGGAAGTGGGTCATCTCTTAACCCCTCCAGCCCCCACAATGCCACTTGCCATGACTTCATAGCCGCACCTCCAAGATGGCACCCCCAATGTGATCCTTAGGTGTGCCACTGGTGAGGCATGGCAGGAGATAATGCTTGCCACCCTTCCTGGGAATCGGTGTGACCCCGAATCTGACTTCGGTCCTGGCGAGGAGTTTACCTGTGGTAGCAATTTCGCCATCGCCTATTTTATCAGCTTCTTCATGCTCTGTGCCTTCCTGGTGAGGAATATTTTTTCTACAACCACCACCACAGCCATGGGGGCTGGTCCTGAAAAGTCTGGGGATGTCAAATGAAGTGGGGAGCCCAGATCTTCAAAGTGGATGAAAGGGCTGGCCTGGTGACAAGATCAACCCAGGAACTCATGACCTAGTGACCACATAACTGTACCTCAGCCTCCCAACCTCCCCCCATACCCTGTTCTGCCCTTTACCTAACCTTCCTGCTCACTAACCTGCAGATCATAAATCTCTTTGTGGCTGTGATCATGGACAACTTTGATTATCTAACAAGAGATTGGTCCATCCTGGGCCCCCATCACCTGGATGAATTCAAGAGGATCTGGTCTGAGTATGACCCTGGAGCCAAGTATGCCCTCTAACCCCATACCTGTTATCCCATGGGACAGCGCACTGCCCCACACAGTCTCCCAGCCCCAGAACCTCTGGCCTACTCTTCCCATTATCCAGTCAGTAGATGCCCAAGGTTCCCACTGCCCCTGTCCTCTGCCTCCCCCACTTCCGCCCCCACCCCTCCCACACACACACTGCCCTTCAATTCTTCCCTGGCAAGCTCTGGGTTATTGGTGGGGAGAGGTAGTGATGAGCTGATGGGGCCTTAAGAAAGGGATAGAGCGGGTATCTCCAATCCAATAGTGCCTCCCACCCACCCCCACCTGCCCAAGGGGCCGCATCAAGCACCTGGATGTGGTTGCCCTGCTGAGGCGCATCCAGCCTCCCCTGGGATTCGGGAAGCTGTGTCCACACCGAGTGGCCTGCAAGGTCTGTGCAACTGCCCACCCCCCACCTTGCCTCTGAGAGGGCTGTCCACCATCTGGCAGGGGTGGGCAGAGACTTTACCTTGGATGAGGAGGGGGTGTTTTGTTGCATCATCAAAAGTTTCTGCCTCTGGGCATTCGTGCCTGCATTGCTGGCATTTGCCCAAAGTGAGTTTCACGTCCCTGGTGTGCACAGAGACTTGTGGCGATGAACATGCCCCTCAACTCAGATGGGACGGTGACATTCAACGCCACACTCTTTGCCCTGGTTCGGACATCCCTGAAGATCAAGACAGAAGGTGTGTGGGGAGGGGAGGGGCAGGAGTTGGAAGGTTCCCTGGGGAGGTTACAGGAAGCAAACTGGAGTGACGGTCCCCACTCCTAGCTCTGAATCTCAAAATGGGTGACTTTGGCTTGCCTAGGCCCGTTTCCCCACCTGTCCAATGGGGGCGGTGCACGACTGTGGTAGAAGCTTGTGAAGCCCCTCCAACAGTGAGGGAGTGGCTGTGAAGGGCTTTTCCGATTGGTTCATGCCCCACATCCTCTCCTGATGCAGGGAACCTGGAGCAAGCCAATCAGGAGCTGCGGATTGTCATCAAAAAGATCTGGAAGCGGATGAAGCAGAAGCTGCTAGATGAGGTCATCCCCCTTGCTGACGGTGAGCAGGCCCCACCCCAATTCCTTGAGACCACCTCTGAATGTCAGATGATTGATTGCTCACCACCACAAAACCCGCACTGGCTGGAGGGGGTGGGGACAAAGAGGATTTCATGCTGTGGATAAGGTGTGGGGAACTGAGAACCCCTATGTAACCCTGCTTTCTCTCCCTTGCCCCCAGAGGAAGAGGTCACTGTGGGCAAATTCTACGCCACATTTCTGATCCAGGACTATTTCCGCAAATTCCGGCGGAGGAAAGAAAAGGGGCTACTAGGGACCGAGGCCGTCCCAAGCACCTCCTCGGCCCTTCAGGTCTTCAGAGTGGGGCCTGGGTGGGTGGGGGTAGGTGGGGGCACTGTGGCAGAGGCTGACTGTCCTCTTGATCTCATGGAACCCATGTCACAGATGAGGAAACTGAGGCCCCAGAACCCACGGAAGGTCAGGGGTGGTTGAGGGGCTCCTTCCTGGACCCCACACTCCTGTATGGGAAGGAGGATTTATGGCAAGGGAGTTTATACCCTGAGCTGTCCTGCTTCCCTAGTTTTCCACCCCCACAGGCTGGTCTGAGGAGCCTACAGGATTTGGGTTCTGAGATCCGGCAAGCCCTCACCTGTGACACAGAGGAAGAGGAGGAAGAGGGGAAAGAGGGAGAGGAGAAGGAAGATAAGAAGGATCCAGAAACATACACAGTGAGGACAAGTTTCCACTTCCCCAGAATTGTATAATACTCCCTCAATCCCCTGATTTCCTCACTGGCTCTGGGAAGAAGCCCCACAGAGAAGCACTTCCTGCAATAGACAAATGTTTCTTTGGTACCTATCATCCACTGTTGGAGGGCAACACCCAGATTCAGCCCGGGCCCTGGGGAACTCATTGGAGACAAACTATATGACCAAGTGACTTAGATATAACATGGATGCAACCTTCAGTCCTGTGACTTCCACAGGCCCCAATGGGTTCCCAGACCCCATCTCGCCAGAGCTCGGTGATTTCTGTGTCCCTGCCTGCTGGGAACAAACTCCAAGATTCACTCTCCCTTGGGCCCAGTGATGACGAAGGGGGAACTCCCAACTCCAGACAGTCCAGTGTGTCCCAGGCTGGATCCCACGCCCACAGGTACAGTCAAGAATCTGAGGGAAGATTGTGAGGGAAGAAAGGGACTAGCCGCTGTATGGGGGGTAATTCAGAAGCATTGGGAGAGGGCCTTCTAATGGAAGTTTGGTAAAAATGGGAGAGATTCAAGGGCTTAGGTGGGAATAAAGGGTAATAAGAGATTCATGTGAGAAAGGCAATGCAAAGGCAAAAAGTGCATAATGTGGAACTAAATGGGTTTAAATTCAAATGCTGAATTAGCCATTTGTTAAGTGACCTTGGGCTAGTCACTTAGTTTTCATGGTCGTTAATTTCCTCACCTGTGAAAGGGGAATAATAATAGCACCTTACCTCATAATAGAAGGATGAAATGAGGCCACACCTAGCTTTTACAGCTTTCTCCTCATCCCCCTGAACACACCCCTGATTCTTGTGCTAAAGTTGTCTCTTGAACAGACAAACTTTGTTTCTTTTGAAGTGTTGGGTCCTTTCAGGGAGACAAACTCCTATTAAAAGAAAGCCCATGTCTACTTTAAAATGATGACAGATTAATTTAATGTTATGTGAATTTCCCCCTAATTAAAAAAAAATAGTAGCTCTGCATTTCTGTAAGGGAGGAGGCATGGAATGAGAGGGAACCAGGGTCCCAGAACCACATATTGGGGGGATCTGATCTGCTTAACTTGCCTCACTTTCTCCAGGAGGACCACTGGGGCTCCCATTTTCACCATTCCAGAAGAAGGACGTTTTCATCCCGAAGAAACTGAAGGGCAGGAGGAGCAGGATGAGGAAGAGGAAGTCCCTGGCGGGCTCTCTGACTATGATCAGTAGGATGAGCCCATGAGCCACGTGTGGGAGGGCACGACTGCTAGCACCCCATCGCCCATGTCCAAGCCTGGGCTCACCTTCTTCCCTCCCTCCCTCCCACGCAGGCTCTCCTACTTAGATGAGCAGGCAGAGACTCTCCCGCACCCCAGCCTTTTGCCACTTCACAGACCCCAGAAATATGTAGAGGGGCACCGTGCCACACGCCGCCGTCTGCTGCCCCCGACGCCTGCAGGTGAGAGTGGGAGTGGGTCCTGGGGGCCCCCAAGGGCCAGCGGGGCAAAAGGCTGACATTTCTCATTGCCCCCGGCACCCCTTGCCCCCCAGCCCCAGGTCGGAAGCCCTCTTTCACAATCCAGTGTCTGCGGCGCCAGGGCAGTTGTGATGATTTGCCCATCCCAGGCACATATCATCGTGGGCGTAACTCAGGACACAGCAGGGCACAGGTGAGCCCGTAGACAGGGTGGGGGTAACCTAGGCTGAATTTATCTGGCACACTACACATCAGGCCCTTCCGAAGAATGGGGCACATATGAATTCACACAATCCTCCTTGTAACTGTGAAGTGGGTACTATTATTAGCCCCAGTTTACAGATAAGGAAACTGAAACCCAGCGAGGCTCACTCAAGATCACACAGCTAGTAAGTGGCGAAGCTGAGGTTTAATCCCAGGTCTTCTGTGCTCTTAAGTAAATTCAAATCTGATTTACACACATTCAGCTTGACTCAAGTTGTGCTTGTGGGTAAGAGGTAGGTACAGGAGTGAGTCCTATACCCTCACACTCCACCCATCAATCACTGTCCCTCTGATGTTTATTCTAATTCAGGGTTCCTGGGCAACCCCTGCTCAACGGGGTCGGCTACTGTATGCCCCACTGTTATTGGTGGAAGAGGGTGCAGCAGGGGAGGGATACCTCGGCAAATCCAGCGGTCCACTGCGCACCTTTACCTGTCTGCACGTGCCTGGAACCCACTCAGACCCCAGCCATGCCAAGAGAGGCAGTGCTGACAGCCTGGTGGAGGCTGTGAGTCCAGAAGGGGCATGGGCAAGAGGAATGGGGAGGAAGGAGAAGAAGGGGGAGCTTGGGAAGGAGGGAAAAGGGGTCCCCAGTCTCTATGCTGTGCCTGTAGCTCTCCCTTTGCTCTGTGACTCCTGCGTAGCATGATGTGTGCACCACTGTCAGCCACTGTCTTCCCTGCATGCCCTCATGGCTATATCATTTAAACACAGGGACCCCTCTGTGCATGCTGCTTCGACTTTATGCTGTGCCCTCTGTCAATTCTGGTCCTATCTGTGCCCCCAGGTGCTCATCTCCGAGGGCCTGGGCCTCTTTGCCCAAGACCCATGCTTCGTGGCCCTGGCCAAGCAAGAGATTGCAGATGCATGTCACCTGACACTGGACGAGATGGACAGTGCAGCCAGTGACCTGCTGGCACAGAGGACCAGCTCATTTTATAGTGACGAGGAGTCTATCCTCTCCCGCTTTGATGAGGAAGACCTGGGAGATGAGATGGCCTGTGTCCATGCCCTCTGAATTCCCATCCTCCCCACTACTCAATAACCCTGCCTTCCCTTCCCCAGAGGGAGACAGGCATGTACCACACCCTTGGATTTTGGTGTCTTTGCACTGTGGGCCTAGTGCTTCCCAGGAGCCCCCATCCATCCATCCCTCTGTTTCAGGGCTGAGCCACTGCCCACACATGGGTATTTCCAGAAACCAGGACAGCCAGGTCTGATTCTTCAGCGTCAGTGAAGGAGGGAGGAGGAGGAGGAAGAGACAGCAGCCAAAAAAAGCTGGAGACAGATTGGAGCTGGTGGGGGAGGGGGACGGTACTGGACAGACATGGAGGAAAGAGGAGAGAGGGGAATTGGATGAGCAGTAAAGTCAGAGATTCCACAAGGGGTCACTCAGGTCAGACTGAGGAAGGGCAAATGGATGGGAAGGAAAGAATAAGGAAATCCAGAGGAGAGTCCTGCCAGTAGAAAGGCCTAGAGGTTGGAATAAGCCTAGTATGTGATGTGTCAGGCAGAGGGGTCCTCTGATGGCAGTGGAAATTTCAGGGAAGCTAAATTGGGATCACCCTGTCTCCCACCTCCCACCTTCTGCCTGGGAAAATGAAAATCTAAATCCACTGGCAGAAGACATGGGTGGCGGCAAAGGGTGTGGCTCCCAGCCCCGGGGAACACACTCAGGGTCACCTAGCTTTCCTGAGGTCAGCTGAGAGTCACCCACTCTCCTTCTACACAGATCCCAGAGCTCCTCTTTCTGCTTCTTGCCTTACCTTTAGTCATTGCCCAAACTTTAGGGTCTCACTCACTCAGCGAATGTTTATCAGGGACTTACTTTGTGCCAGGCACTCTTCTGGGTTTCCCTTAGAGAAAACTGAGCTGGCTTAGACATGTGACAGGACTTGTCCAAAGTGGTAGTCAGTCCCACTCCACAGGAGTTGGAGGCACTGCTGGGAGTGACACGGGATAGGGCCACCACTTGGGAAGGTATGATCTAGGGTCTCCTCTGAGCTCTCAGAGCAGGGGTTTCTCACTTGTATAATTTGTGTCAATCAATCCACTGAAATTTGAGGAAAGCCAGAATTGGAGACTGGAACGTAGAATATAGAGTTGCACTAGGCCTTGAAACAAAGGCGTGTTGTGGATGGGCTACTCCATTGTGTATTGTGGGGACAACAAGTCATGGATAGGACATAGATAGTGAAAGGAGATTTGAGGGATGAGGTGGGAGAGGCCACCTGAGGCCAGATGACGCTAAGCATTTCAATGCCAGGCCCCAAAACCTGGGACTTTTCCTAAAATCAGTGGGAATCCATGGGAGGGATTTCAGCAGGGTAGCGACATAGTTAACTTTGCATTTTAAACAGATGCTCTGATGGCTGTGCTGAAAACAGAAGGGAGGGGGAAGGGATTGGAGATGCTAAAATTGGCAGGAACAATGGTCGCCTTAGCCAGGGGAGGGGGCAGAGGAGATGATGAGAAGTGAGTGGATTCCAGAGATGTATAAGAGGTAAAATGAACCATTTATTTGGCCCTGTGCTAAATGCATTACAGTGATTATCTTGTTTAATCTGCACAACAACCCTATAGGTACCATTTTAAGCCATCTTACATGTTCAAAGTCATACAGGAATAAATAAATATTAGAGGTGGGATTTAAACTCAAGCGATTGAATGTCAAGACCCATGATTTTCCCCCAGTAAGGCAATAACTGGGAAGTATCCATTACATATTTATGTGAATTTGAGTGTGTGTGTTCTAAAAAATAGGTATACATTCAGATAATTAAAAATTCAAGAGGTACAAGGGATATACAATGAAAAATTTCCCTTCCCCCGGCATTATCAGATATGTGTGTTTTTTTTAAGATTTTATTGGGGAATTAGGGGAGCAAAACAGCGCTGGGGAATCGGGAAAGGGGAACAGACAAGTTGCTGTCCTGTTGTTCTTCAGTCTAGTTGTGGAGGACATCACTTCACTGGCCCATGTTGGTATTATCATTGCACTCTTCCCAGGAGAGGCAGATTGGTCACCGGCCACTGGATGGCTGCTCACGGAGGCTCTTGGCAGCTCACGCCAGCTGCCGGCCGCTCATGCCGGCTGCCAGCCACTCACGGTAGCTTATGACAGCCCACTGCAGCCTACGCCATCCCTGGCAACTAATGGCAGCCCAACTCCAGGTCGAGCTTTTGTTCACCATCTTAGCTGTAGAGGGCGCAGCATCACTGGCTCTAATGTGGGATTCAAACTGGGGCCCTGCTGCCCAGAGCCGGCATCCCAAGCCAACTCTTAACCAACACGCCACTTGGCCGGCCCTCAGATATATTTTATACATGTATAGGATGCTATACTGATAAGTTAGCACAGTGGCTAACAGGTCCTGGAGCCAGAGTTCCTGGGTTCAAACCTTAGTTCCACCATTTACCAGCTGTGTGATCTTAGGAAAATTATTTTGCCTCTCTGCACCTTAGTTTATTCACCTGTAAAATGAGGATAGTAATAGTACCTGCCTCATAGGGTTGCCATGAGGACTTAAATGAGTGATATATGTGAAGCTCTCAAAACAGTGCTTGATATAAAACAGCCACAATTTAAAACGTTAGCTCTTCTCTCTATAATTTATAATATAATCTTTCTCTTCTTTTCGTACACAATTCCTACAGTTTGGCATCTTGCATGTCTTAACTAAACATTTTGGAGATCATTCCACATCTCCATATTATTATTGATGACAGTTGCATAGTACTCCATTTTGTAGCTGTATCAGACTTTAAACAGGCCGCCAGTAATGAGCACTTAGGGAGTATCCGTTCTTTCTTATTATAAACAAAGCTGCAGCGTATCATCTTATACATACATCTTTTAGCACATTTATGAATCTATCTGTAAGATATATTTCTAGAAGTGTAAATGCTGAGCCAAACATTATATGGATTTGTTAGTTTGCTAGATTTTGCTAAATTGCACTCTACAGAAGTTATACCAGTTTCACTTCCACCGGCAACTTATAAGAATGTCTGTTTCTGGCCAACCTGCCAATATTGAGCATTATCAAATTTTTTTATATTCACCACCCTCAAAGATGAAAAACAGTATCTAAGTAGTTTTTCGGTTTTTTAAAAAGATTTTATTGGGGAATCGGGGGAAGGGTAACAGACAAGTTGCTGTCATTGTGTTCTTCAGTCTAGTTATGGAGGACGTTGCTTCACTGGCCCAAGCTGGTACCATCATTGTGCTCTTCCCGGGCGAGGCCGATCAGTCGCCGGCTTCTAGACAGCCGCTCATGGCGGCTGCTGGCCGCTCACGCTGGCTGCCGGCTACACACGGTAGCTTAAGGCATCCCACTGCAGCAAGGGACTGCAGCTCACGCCATCGCCAGCAACCCACGGCAGCCCAGCTCCAGGTTGAGCTGTTGTTCATCATATGTGGGATCCGAACCGGGGCCCTCTGGCATCCCAAGCGAGTTCTTAACCATCACGCCACTCGGCCGGCCCTGGGGTTCTTTCTACATAGTATCATGTCATCTGCATATAATGACAATTTTACTTCCTTACTGATTTGGATGCCTTTTTTTTTTTTCTTGTCTGATTGCCGTGGCTAGAACTTCCAGAACTATGCTGAATAAAAGTG